CCACCCCCTGTGTCTTGGCTCAGGGAGTATCCCTCTATATGGACTGGGCTCCCAAAGTCCACACCTATGCTAAGGGTAAATACTGGGCTTCTACAGGAGGTCCTATAGATTTCCTAGGTTTCCTTGCAGAAACCCAAGTTCCTTGGGTCTGGATCAGTCCCATGCTGGTATTCCAGCTATCCGTATCTGGGTTCCAGTTCAGATCGGTGGTTAGTTATGGGTGTCTTCTTCTACTACCACCAGCTGCTGGATGAGGGCATATAAGTCTGCCATCAATCTCATAATCAGGGGAGGACAATTGAGGTAGCCTCTCCTCCATTGCTGAGATAGTTAGCTGGTGTCATCTTTGTAGATCTCCAGACATTCTAACTGATTCTTTTCAAGCAGTCAATTTCCAACAGAAGCAATATAGTAAGGAAGCTCTGTAGAATTCTCTAGGCAGTTGGCACAGGTCTGTAGACACCCTTATGAGCCATGCTATGAGATCACAGGTATTGATTACTCTGTGACTGCCAATATGTGTCATTTAACAGATGTATATTTAATAGCACTCTTTTTATTAGTATTATTGTTTGTGTGTATGTGTATGTCTGTAAGAATGTATGCCACTTGCATGCAGTTACTCGGGGAGGCCAGAAGAGGACACTGAATCCTCTAAGCTACAGTTATGGAAGGGTTTGAGCCATCTGACTTGATTACTGGGAACGAAATTTGGGTTGTCCGCAAGAGCAGCATGCACTCTTACCTACTGAGCCACCTCTCCTGCTCCTTAACATGAAATAGGAAATTGATTTTAAATTAGCATATAAATAATTATAGTAATACAGTTTCTGTGTTTTTTTAATTAGCTAGTCTTACATTTATGATTTTTAGGATTATCAAATCATTGGATACATAGAACGTGTACTTTGTACATGATAACTTATATGTATAAATTATATACATGTGCATTATATATGGATACCTTAAAATATATGGCAAACAGACAAAGAAGGGAAATTATATTTTAATTCTTTAGTTCTTAGGGTTTTGACAACAAACTACCAGCTTTAGTAAATTAAAATAAACAAGGTATTTTAAAATACCTAGCAAAATATAGAGCTAAAAATTTTACAAATAATATTTACTATGAGTAAAAATATTATACGTCACTGTCAGAGTGTACATGGATTATAAATCCATGTTAACTAAAACTATTTTCTGTACTTAAAACACACACACACACACACACACACACACACACACACACACACACACACAATCTGTGCATTTCAGAACTTCTTAGAATGTTTTCATTACTAAACTCTTGTATGTCAACTTTTATTTTTCTTTTAAAGACATATGTGTTTGGCTATTTTACATCCAACTAGCCTAGTAAACATTAAAATAAAAATGTGAATGAAATTTGATAACATTGTTAAAGTCATCTGCTAGATGAAAACCTATGAATAGATACATGAGACATGAATGAATAAATAAAAACAGATACTCATGATAGAACATGTAATCAGAATATGGAAGAATGACAGCCAGATATAGCTAAATTAATGTGTAATTATCAGAGCTAAGGAAAATAGTGGGTATAAGAGAGGGAAATTTAGCCCAAGCAGTTCTCAAAGAGGCAGCTTAAAACTTTCAGTTATTAAGAGTCTAGCAATACTCAAACAACTTAGCTCAGAATGCAGCAAAACAGTCACAAAGCTGGCTTTTAAACTAATAGCAGTATAGAGACTAGCTGTGCCTTCCTGGCCCCAGCAAACAAAATCTACAGGGGTACTTGCGGTAGAAAATGTGGTTAGCCACTCAGAATAGCCTTTAACTGACGTCTTATTCAAACCAAGATGACGGAAAGTGGTTAATTGGTTATTTCTCTGTTGGCCCACAGAAGTGAAGGTCAGTTTTCACACCCATGACTAGCATGATCCTGGGCAGAAGAATTT